GATCCTGCCTAAGAGGGGTCTGAACTAGAGAGGCAACTTCATTCAAAATGCCAGCCTGCCGCCCACCTCGCTCAGCCAGCTGGGATTTAGCGTGCAAAAGTACGCCGTGCTGCCATGCTATCTCTGCCTTAAGCCGTAGGGGTTGAATTAAATGCATTCATTATTGTGGAATCTGTTTCCTCTGTTTTAGACCAATGTATCAAATGCCAGTGGCATATCACATTTCAGTGACACCAGTGTCATCTATTCTATAAAATGATATGCCTACCACCAGTGATGGAGCCAATACAGCACTCGCAAGGAACCTCTGAACCACGCAATTGATACGACACATCATAGCGTCAGTTTCAACTTAAAAGTGACGTGTAGGAGGAAAGTGGTCTCGACCAGATCTCCAACATGCATCCAAAACGCCATTTCTCATCCTCAGCTTAGTAAACAAAAGCCTAGGTTTTCCTAAGTTATCTGCATCGACTTATTGGTTTTCATGGAAGAAGAGGTATAGGTTTATAGGGATGAACATTGGTTTTCGTGGAAGAAGAGGCATGGGTGTGCAGGGATGAATGGGGACTGCATAGCCCGAGACCACGGGTTATTGCCGGGTCAGATGCGACGGGTTGCCGGGTCAGAAACCTGCGTACCTTGCCTGGTCTACGGAGTGACCGTCCTGCATCCTGCGTACTTTCTGTCACCAATGACGGAACCAAGGCCTTTAGACTGTGGTAAATGAGCATCATTCATTACGTTACAAGGCAACATCGTCGAAAGGACGCGTCACCAACGAAATGGTGCCGCCGAAACCACCGAAAACCTGAAATCCAGTACAGCAGCATGTGCGTTTATAGAGACCTAAGAATGCGTTGTAGCATTTAAGCCGATCGCTATTCCGACATCTGGCAATGCGAGCACCAAAAGCTACAGCGTCCAGCGAGCGTTTGAATGAGCGCGCTTACCAGCAGCGCTCGACCAATCCTGGTGCTCAATGAACAAATCTACTCCGTGATGACCCGTCCGTTTTATCGCCCGGGCTTTTATGGCAAAGGCAGCCACTTTGACCCAGGGCAATTGGGCCTTGGTCAGCCATGCCCGGTAGTGGGCCAAATTGAACGAAGATATAAATCAGACATTGACATGTCGCTCCAGGTCTAATGCATCCGATTCGGAAGTTGTGTGGAAAATCCCTCGCCAAATGTGCTGGATTTCCCGCAGCTCTCCGCGTTACTGCTTCCTCTTCTGCCACCATCACAATGCCTTTCCACCGATACACATCGATGCATCAGTGTGAAAGCTCCCACAGCAATGACCGCAGCAGCAACCCGCGAAGGCACGTATTCCATGACCTGGCAGTATGCCCCCGCCGGAGGTCAGCCGCGCCAGAGGCGCCCGCCGGGGCACATCAGACAGAGCCGCCTCACGGGCAGCGGACAGGCCGCCTCACCCTGCGCGACACACCCCAAAGGGCCTGGACGGCGCGCTCTGTACTGTTCACCGGTCACGTGGCGTGATGCACGGTCACATAGTCGAGGCGCGCCGGTGAAATTAGGTTCAACCGCCGAAAACACGGCTCGGTACCGCCAGCTGCGGCGTTTGCAGAGCCGCACAACAAACAAGTCCGGTCTGATCGTTCACGAAACGAGCGTCGGTGCGTTTTTGTGAGCCCTCCGCTACTAGTGCAATCAACTCAGGGCCATTTGTGCTGGCAGTTTCATATAAAAGCGAGCCAAAACCGATTAAGAGCACTCGGTTATAAAGATAGAACAACGGAATTAACGGCGGAATCAATTTTGCTAATTGAATCAGCTGCGCACGAGAGATTTCCCCGTTAATCCAATAGCAATACAGAGCCAAGCACCAGCTGTGATAATAAAACACCACAATTAAACGGGGTCCATATGGCGCGCGGCATTACTGTTTCACCACAACCTTGAATGTCGCTCCCATTGGCGTATTCAAGGAACACCGGAGACACGTGCCCCCACCCCCGTCAAATGCATGCATGCACTAAGGTTTAAAATTTGAGTACATTTATTTCAGTGAAAGGAAATGCAAGGCATCCAAGTGAATAAATTGACAATTGAAAGAAAGGAAATGCACGGCATCCAAGTGAGTAAATTGACAACTGAAAGATCAAGGTGAACGCGTAAAATGAACAGATTAAAAACACGCGACGTCGCTACACGCCATATCAGAAATTCGCACGGCCACGTGCTAAAATGGGTTTTTAGTCGAGTTTTTCCCCCACCCGGCGAAATTCTGCCTACGCCCTTGGCTTCCAACGTCCACTACTGACGTTCAGCCCGTAATTATCGCTCTTCGGTTCTTTGACACCGACCTTATCCGTCCTTAATTAGTTAATTTTGATTCTGAGGTCTTCTGACCATATGACGCCTTTTCTGGGAGCACGGCCTATGTCACCCAGACTCTTGATATACTTGTCCGTATGGTGACGTCACATCAGCCGACCAAAGGGAAAATATCTCACACTTGAGAATATTAAAGCAAGCGCCAGATATGATGAAATGGGCTCACTTCTAATGATTGACATACTTTTAAGTGGAAAAGCCTGCTCTAGACAACACAGTTTTCTTGTTTAGTAAATATGCTCCTCGATACGCCATTGTTTGAATGCGTCATTTTACCTTGCACACCATTGATCAAGAACCAACTGACAACCATTATATATGTAAAGTGTGCTCACGAACGCCATATATAAACGCCTTGACAATTATATTGTTTGCCTTAATCGTCGCATGGTTTATGGAGTGACATGATTTGAAAGACGCTATTATGACGTCTCTTGAATGCTAAGGTGACCTTGAAATACTCTTCCGGAAAAAGTCTCCCCATCTTCCCGGGTGTTTAGCTCAGAAACCAGAGGGGCTTAGGTCTTCAGTAGTGCAGGGCTGTGAACCGCATTTAATGATCCTCAAGATGGGTATTTAAGTTCAACACCCCCGTAGAAATGTGGAATGCTCCTCTTACCATAGGCCGCGCCCGTGCAAACAGACTCTTCGCGGCTCGCGCCCGCCCACGGACCGGGGCCGATTCGCACGGTTCACATGCAGACGAGCGGTCGCATCTGAAGTCCGTGGCGCAGGTCTCGCACGAGCGCCGTCTGGTGTCAGCCGGCGGAACGGAGCGTCTCGCTCGGCGCGCTGAGACTGTCTGGTCGCTCACACTAGCACCGCAGTCCGCGCCCGCCGAACCTCAAAACGAGACAGCGCGGCTGTCTAGCCGTTCGCGCTAGCACCGCAAGGCCCGAAAGGATCAGTGGTCTGATATGATCGGACGTCTGGAAACAGAACCGTCTCACCTGGTGGACTGGTTTGTCGAAATTAAGTTCAGAAAAGTGGTGCGAAGTCTCAGGTTCTTGTTCCAGGAACACAACAAACGGTCGTGACGTGTGCCCAAAACCTACGACAAAATAGGACACACGGCAGAAACCCACTGCAGAACTTGGCAGAAAACAAGTGCTGTTGACAAGCGCCTTACATAGTACCGCGCATGACGGAGGTCGCAGCGAAATAAGCAGGCATTATGGTGGCCTTGACCCGTCCTAGCTACCCGATTCCGAAGAGAACTCTACGCAGGGCGATAGACGACTCCAGTTATGTGTGCACGATTGAGAAACGCGTGACAGCGCGCAGCCCAGCCGTGTCCAAACACTTGTCAGTTACCGCACAAAGGTGTTCACGGGGAAGCATATTGATGCTCATACTTCGTAGCTAGAAAACGGCAGACATTTCGAGCGCAGATGGGTTGGTCGGACACTGCGAACTCTGCCCAACAAAGCTGATCCAAGATACAGCACAACGGTATGTCGCGGGGTCCCCACACGATCTCAAAGAACACAGTCGCAGCGAGAGAGCAGACCCGGCTGCCGAAACTTCCGAGTCACAGAAAGCGCAGGTTACGCAATGGAGGAGACGGTTGTTGCGCAGTCCCACCAGACAAACGGTGTGTCAGATGAGTTGCTTTCAAACGTGGCTTAGTCAACATGCTCTGATGGAAGTAATGAATGCGCGCGTTTGTGAAACGCGCCGGTAATGAATGCGTGGACCTGTGAAATTATCCAGTAATGAATGTGTGCATCTGAAATGTCCCACGTTTTACCTTCGACCTGTGTGGGATTATTGCCCATCTACTGCAAACCACTAAATTCGAGAAGTGCCGGTTATAAATTGAATCTGAACCTGAACCTCTTGGCCGGATCGGGATCCAGGTCGGATCATCCTGGCCATCTGCCTGCCTGCTGAACCCGGACAACATCGGTCCAGAGAGCCGAGCTGATCCACCCGCAGGTGCACCATGCACAGCTGCTCCCCCCCCCCCCCCCGACATGCTGGCTGCGGCAGCGGGCGTGTTGCAATGAATTACGGCCCGGTCAAGAGCCTGAAGCACTACTCGGGACGTCCTCAAGCCGCTAGCACATATCTGTTATCTGCTTGTCTGACACAGGACCGTGGCAGGGCGCTGCGCGCCTCGCCCCGCTTCCTGGAAAGCCTTTCAGGCCCGGATCCCATCCTCGCACGCTGTCTGGGGCCGGCGCTAAGCCGGAGTCGCGTCTCCGGCATACGTAATCTGCTCTCGCGGCGAGCGGTGATCAGTTCCACGCAGATCGTCCATGTAAATAGTCCATGAGACGGGATCGCTTGACTGGAAGCCAGATTAAACAGGCTGCGGCATGGAACGAATTACGACCGGTGGCTCAAACGCAGACAACCGGCCCCAGTCAGCCACGTGCTGATGCTGCGATCGGGCGGCCAACGTATGCGGATGCTACATTCCAGCTGACACGCACTGCGGCCAGGTGGGAGCGTTTGGAATTTTCCTCCTGCACCTTAAGCATACAGCTGGGCGTTATCATACACGGTGCCCCATGACGAGCAGAACGATCAGATGTGCTGCTCCCAAATATGAAACGGCGCCTAAAAGCGAGCGTTGGTGTGATGAGGAACGAAAATGCCGACACGTATAGATCGGACGGGGGGGCTACTTACTCGTGCTGTCGAGGTCAGCGTAGCTGGACATGATGCTGCTCAGCAGAATGGAGGCCAGGGTCAAAAGCATGCGTGATGACCCGGAGGCGTCGACCTAGAGCAGGACGTGCGACACGGACCAGGCGAAGTCTTCGGTTGACTCCTGAGGATTTCTGACTCTCGACTCCGGCAGCTGTCACGGAACAGAGTCTCCACTGGCCCTGCGAGTCTCGGACGGAGTCTCACTAGCTCTGCGACTCTCACATGGGTTCTCCACCGACTCTGTGGCTCCCCGAACGGTGTCTATACCGGCTCTGCGGCCCTCAGACGGAGCCTCCACTGGCTCTGCGGGCCCCAGATGAGGCCTCCAGCGGCTCCGCAGACTGAGGCAGCGCCCTCACAGGTGCTCTGTGTCCCGCTAGCAGTGTCTACCTCCAGCTCCGACCGGGCGTCTATTCAAATCAGACCTGGCGCCGCCTCTGGACAGGCTCGGTCAGCCTCGAGAGGCCTGCCGGCTCCACTCTGGCACTCCTGAGCCCCCGGCCGTCCCTCGCACTAGACACGCCACCCGGCGCCTGCGCGCGGGCGGACCGCCGTGCGCGCAGCGCGATCAGGGTCCGCTGACGGGGCTCCGGAGCTCACGGAGACGGCACGGCCCGCATCGCCACTCGGGTCCGCCCGCCCGCTGCATGGCGACGCCCGGCCAACAACACACCACTCGGCGCTGCTCCGTCAGCAGGCTCCGGCCCTGCTGTCCGGGGCTCGTCTCGGGCGTGGCCGGTCTCTCCTCGTCCAGGGCAGTGACTTCCCTGGTGTTACCAGTCACTGACGCGCCGCCCCTTCAGCGCCGGGACTTCACACCGATGTCGCCAGCCGCCACCGCACCAATCCAAGCTACTGGGCCGCGCTGCTTCCGCTCGTCACCGTCGCCCTCGCGCGTGCCGTCGTCACTGTCGCACCCTCCAGACAGGCCGCCGTCGCCGCCGTCGTCCAGCCGCTACCGTCGGCGGCGGTGTCGCGCCTGAAAGGCGGACAGGGCGGTGTTAGTCGGAACCGCGGCCTGCAGTAGAGGGAGGGGGGGGGGGGCTGCGGACGCGTGCCACCTCGCCCTGCCGTGCCGTAATGACCGACTGGCGACGCCGCGACACAAAAATCGCAGCCGGCCATGTAATCCCGCGCCAGTATCGCACTCCGGGAATTAGCCGGGAAATGGGCTGCCGCGCGGGCCGGCCGTGTGTCATAACGGAATGAGCCGCCGGCGCGGCCGGTCGCACAGCGCCGCCGGCGCTCTGTCGGGACGCGCCGGGACCTGGTGCCGCAGCCGCCCATGTCGCCACGTGCCGACACGTCCGGCCGACGTGTAAACCCGCGCGCTGGGTGACGCACCCGTGCTCAGCGCGCGCCAGTCAGACGTAGGTCTACAAAAGATGCACGCTCATACGCTGCTGTGATGTGTTACGAGGGGAGAGAAGGGCAAGGCCGGCGTAGAAACTTAAGCTGAAATCTTTGATTGTTTGGGTAAGTAACCATGATGAATAAAAGCTGGGGTGGGAGTGTGTCGTCTCGAGACGGTGGGTATGGTCCGCTCGGGTCCTCTGGTCGCGGAACGAAGGTCACCGATATCGCGCGCTGTATGCGTCATTCGACTTGGCTCCGCTCAGTGCCACGAGTGGATGAAATAGGGACCAGAGCTTCTTGGTGATTGTTTATCATGCCGTTTCAGGGGAAACGTTAGGGTATGAAGTGCCCGAAATCAGGCTCCGGGACATAAATGTTGTGCTGCTTACGCCGTTATGGGAGGGGACACGGCCCTCCACTTAGATCCGTCGCTCTGCTGCTTATCTGTTGCTTGATCCGTGTATGGTGTTTGTGTGCTAAACCGGAAGATGTTCGGAGGAAGCATCCCATTGATCTTTCCCTCAACTCTGATCTCACGAAGTAATTGATGTACACGAGGAATGTAACAAAGGTGCTGTTGTAACCATCGCCTGTCGTTGGCAGAAAACGACGCAGCCTGATGCCCGTCGCGGCGGTTGTTTCTGATGCAGATTATTGGATCAAAAACAAAACTGCCGCGTAGGGTGGATCCGGTTCCAAGCCAAACAATGCATAAAACATTCCGAAGCTAGATTTGCATGGTGCAGTTAAGCGCCAGCCAGACAACAGGTTGATGATTGCATTTGTATGCTGGGACGTCATGGATTAAAGCTGGCCGGATCGGATTCGGCCAGTCTACGAAGTTACAACACCAGTAACACGAGCATAACTTGGAACGGGTCTGCCCGTTTGCAATGACGCAACCGTGCACGTATGCACCATTACATGTCCGCGCTTCAATAACTCGCACTGTTGCTGTTACGAAGGTCGCAGAGATGACGCAATCGTCTACCATACCACTGGTACTGACCAAGTGTGAAGCATTATTTGCATGGATATGAGGACTAGGGATGTCAATCTCACGATCGCGACAGCGGGATCCCGGGAGTGGATCCAGATCTCGAGGTTCGCACCTTCCCGCATCCCATATTGAAGAAAACCACAATGGTAGGCTGGATTGAGATAAAACATTAAGCTGTGTCCATCATAAGCTTGAGAGCTATTTATAAACGTTAAAAGCATCGTGCGACATCGTGGCCAGCCCAGAATCGAAGTCTGCAGACAGACACAAACGTCCCGCCTGGTTGGTGGTTGAAAGATTGGCATTGGAGACAGACTGGCGACTCCTGACAACTCCAGCGTCTGCTGAACGGATGCTGCTGCTGAAGAATGATGTTAGAAAATAGGTTGATACCATGCTAGTGGATGTAGTGAAGCAAATGTAATGGCCTGTGATAACATGTGCAGGACTGGTTCGACAGCTACAGAACCCCAGATATATTTGGGCTCACCTTTTCAATGTCACGTAACACAAAGAAATCTTGGAGATTTTGGTAAGAGAATAACTATGTCCATGCTTGTGGAAAAGGCCAAAAACCCGAAGAAGGCGCCATTCTCGACAGCTGTAAAGGTGGTAGAAGTGATGCTGATTTACCTCGTTGCACGTCTAACGTATATGCGAGATGATATGCTCTTCATATGTTCAAAAACCGACTTAAAAAGCGTGTGCTTCACAACACGAATATGAGCATCACGATACCGCCAATGAGCATAGCAAACAAGACGGACCACAACGAATATCATAATCAAGCTTTGTTTCAATCACATGTGACATTGGTTGGCGGGAATACGCTGCGAGCAAATCGGTGCGCAAGCAAATTTATACGAGGTCATCTCTGGTTTGCAATATTACACTTGGTGTTCGTGGACTGTTGACCGTTACGGAGGATAATCGCACTTGGATAATCGGAAATATATATATCGCAAATATATACGGAGGATAATCGCAATTGGTGTAAATGTTTAGAAATACGTCGTTGAAGTTCAGATATTACCAACAAGGATGAATTAGATGCATGAATATACTCATTACGCCACACGATTTCTTTTCTAATCGTGAGATATCCAGAAGTCTGACGACAAATTCAGTAAGTTTGGATCACGAAATTGGCTACTGTACTGTGATTAACACATTTGAGGGGAATGTTTCACATTTGAGTATATTAATATTTCACATTTGAGCATCGGGCATGATGAAACAAACTTGCTTAAAGTTATTGGTGTACTTTTGTGTGGAAAAGACTCCTCCAGACAGAACAATTCTCTGATCAGTAAATATGTTTTTCAATGCACCATGGTTTGATTAGGCTATCATAACTTGCACATCATTAACTGAAAGCCACTTAGGCCGTTGTGTCTGGAAATCGTGCCCATGAACGCCAGACATGAACATCTCGACAATTGTATTTTCTGGCCTGGCCGCCGCATGGCCATGGAATAGTAGGATTTAAATGACGTTATTATGATGTTATGAATGCTAAGGTGACTGAAATACCCTCCCCGATATACCTTTCCCCATTTTCACGGTCGTTTAGCTAAACAACTATGGGGCTTAGGTCTTGAGAAGGGCAGGATTGTGAACAGTACCAAAAGGTCTTCAAGATAGCCATTTCAGTTCAAAATCCCATATAAATACAGAACATTTCTTTGAAGACCGAGGTTGAACACGACACAAATCCAAATTTGACTGTTACGTACAATGCATGGCATTTGGATACTGCATACCGACATCTGACATTTACACACCGGTCAAAAAATAGCTACCTACGGCGAAAACCTGCTGGTCTTGGTTCGAATCAAGACCAAATAGCATGCCATCGTTATACAATCGACGCATTGTCCACCCAGCTGACGCACAAAGACTTTGAGGCCGAGTGCCTTGACAATCGCCGCCTAGAAACGTAACCTCCCAAAGCCAGTTGGCGGAGAGAGAGGAGAGGCGGGAAAGGGGAGGGGAACGACGCGATTTTGTGAATTTACCTTTTGCATAGCTCATAGGCCCTTTGTTTTACAAAATGCCTTTCGGGAGGTCATGTACCCACCGATAGGAATGCGTTGATCTCTCAGTCGGCAGGCACTCCCCTGTGCGCTCGCATACGGAGAATTCCTGGCTTCTTAGGTTACACCTGATCCTCAGCAGCGTGGGCACTCCCACCCATGGCTTACACCAGCACTCTACCCGTGATATGACCGATACCCGGGCACCAGCCCAGACACAATTCATCTTAATTTTTCTCATCAAGCGCAAGCTCGCGAATCCCCTGATAAGAACCTTGAGCAAGGTCACATCCCCAGTCGGAACGATGCTGAACAAACAGCAGGTCCTGTCTTGTCGGGCGTTTTAGCGGGGTTTTCAGCTCAGCTCGGGCCGATCCCCGCCCATTATCACACCCTCGGGCGCCGCCGCCCGGGCCATAAACCCGTCAGGGACGCGGCG